GAGCCCTCAGCTTGCCACAGAGATGTTTCCCCAGCCTTTATGTGGATGCCATTGGGTTTGCAGCTTCCTGGCCTGTTGCAGGCAGCTCTAGGAAGGCCCGAAAGAAAGAATTCAATCCTTCTCATCAGCTGTGAAAGCCAAACCAAACCCCACTCGCAGCAAGACTTTCCAAGAGGAAAATTGATTGGACATCAACAGGCAAGAGATGCAGCTTCGTTAAGGATGGGTGAATGGCTCTAGCTCCTACATCCAAGTGCCCATCAGGTTTAGCCCATAGGTCACTTGGGTCTCCATGGGCAGCTGAGAAAACACGTTCTCCATCACATCAGCTCATCCAGCTAAAGTAAACCATGAGGTCATGCCACCAGCATAATGAGCACCTCTGCTTGGGTCCTCTGCACCCCCCAGCCCCAGCTTGCATACAGGTGTGTTGTTATTAAGCAGCTGGTATAACAACCCCATGCCAGTGCCAAGTATGAAACAGCTCTGGCCCTGTCCAAAACTAACACAGCCGGGGCTGGGAATGGGGTCCAGGGGGTGCAGTTCTGCCTCCTGGAGAGGAAAACAAATCATCCAGGTTCAAAAGCAGGAATTGGGGCAGCAGGCTTGGAGGAATCCCTGTGCCTCCCCCCAGGAGAAAAGGAGTTAATAGGTAGCCAAGGCAAAGGTTTAAAAATAGAGCTCTTTGCATAGCTGTTTGGTGAGGTCTCTGTCAGGTTGGCTGTGTTTGCTGCTCCGCTCTGGTCCCAGCAGGTTTGTCCTGGTGGGTGTTTGCAGGGATGGGGAATGGGGAAAATGGCCTTTGGAAAAAGTGATTTTGGAACGCAGGTGATGGGCTGAGGTCTGGTCCTTGGTCCCTTTGGCACGGTCCCGCTGGAATGGACCAGGTGGATGTGAAACTGGAAGGCAGTTCATTGAGCCCGAGGTATGTTTCAACGGGGGGGGTGTTCCAAGAGGTCCTCCCTTCCCTTCTTGCATGAGGTTATTCCTCTTATTCTGTGGTCTTGAGACTTGCCTCACCCAGTGGAAGATGCAGCTGATGCTCTTATCAGTGGGGATGTGCTGATTGATAGGAGATGTGACCACACTGCTGGGAGCTGAGGTCCCCAGAAGACCCCATTGCTCTCCAATAGGGGTTGGCACTGAAATGAGCTGCTCCTGCAAGTCCATTACTGAGCTGACAGCAATTCCTGTGTGTTGAGCACAGGGTATGATTGCCACTGAATGGGAAAGGTGATGCTGAACCTGGATTTGTGGACATGGGCTAAAGGATTGCTGTGATTCCCCCCCCATCCCCTTTTTCCCATTTACTTCACACACATCTCTGAGAGCCTGTTTAAAGATGCCCTGGGGAGATGGGGGATTAGATAGGAAACCAGATTAGCCCCTTAGGAGTTCAACAATGTGCTTTTGGTTTAATATAGAAGATATCATTTAATATGCGTGTAGAAAAATGCACTGTTGCATAGCTGAGATGGCATTTTCCCATCCTGCTTCCCCTGCCATGGCTTTTTCCCCACTGGAGTGATCAATAAATACAGAGCAGGTGCTCACGGAACGTGGTCTGATCCGAAGGGAAGAGCTGGTGTCCGGTTTTATACCAGGACTTCTTGATTCCCTGCCTTCACTGCAGCTTGGTCCTGCTCCCATCAGGGAGGAGAGGGGGCTTGGGACAGAGCCTGAGCCAGCACAAGGTCTCATGCTCTGTTAACACTGTCCTTGTGCATCTTTCTGTCTCTGACACTGGGGAAAGGATGCAAAGAGCTTGGCCTGCCCGTGCTAGAGCTTCCAGAAGGGTTTTACTGAGTCAACTGAAGGTGGTAATCCAAAGAGAGAGTCAGGGCACACTGAGAGAGGACTGCAGAGGCCTCCAGAGTGAATGGAGACTTGAACCACTGCACAAGGAGCTTGATTCCTTTAAGCTAATACAATCCAGAAAGACTCAGCTGACTCTTCCTTAGTGTCCTCTGTCAACAAGGCCTTATCAGATGGTGGATCCTAGAAGCACTTGGGACGACCATCTTCCATGTGGAGTAAGAAAGAGGCATCCCATTGCCTCCCCTTTAGTCCCCATCACACTTGATAGCAGAGATTGCTGCCATGTAGTGTAGTTGCCAGTGAATTCTATCCATATGATGTGTTTCTTTGCTGTCACACCAAGACCAGCAGGGAAGAGTATTCCCTAATCCCTGACCATGATGTCACCTGACATTCCAAGACCACTGAGTGTCCTAAATAGGCAGGAAGGGACCAGGAGCTTTGTCAGCCCATTCCTCCCACCACAGTGAAGGCCTGCCTGCCAAAAGCCTGTCATAGCCAATGAGGAGAGGATGATGCTTACATAGCCCTCGAGAGCAGGAGAAGGGATTCTGTGGAATAGCATGGGGAATGGGAAATGTCCCACAGATTGGCTTTTGTTACACCCCTGGATTGGATGGGGGGTTGGATTTGGCAGGGGTTTGAGTGTGTACCTAGGATTAGAAGACCTAAAGTCCCTTAAACCCCAGTTTGGGATTGGAAGGGTTAGGACTGACACTAAGAATTTCCTCAGTTTTAGGCTGATTTATAGAATTTAGGTCAAAATTCCCAACTCCAAATGAATTTCTCCATTGCAGAATGAAGCCAGGGTGGGCTTTAACCACAGATTTGGGAATCACCTTGCTGTAGGTGAATAGGATGGGATGACCAAGCCGTGCAGGCCAGAACTGAGGTGCCATTAAAGACAAATGGTGGTGAAAACCTTTCTCTTGGTGGAAGTTAGAGAGGAAGATTTAGGCAGCCAGAGCGTGAAGGGAAGGGCAGGGAGGTTAATTCCCATTATCCAGGCCTTGTAGCATCTCCATGGCCGCCTCTGGCCTCTCTCCAACAGGTCCAAGTTGTGCAAGAGCAGTGAGAACAGGAGACTCATCTTGAGTGCCAGGATCCAGCTCTCGACTACTCAGACCTCCCTCCTTCCCCATTACCCACCCAGCAGCACCACTGAAAGCATTCCTGCAAGGACCAGCACCATTTCCCATCCATTGCCTCACCTTGGAGGAATGCATTGCCTTCCCAAGCCTGCCCTTGAGGTGGAGCTTGTGTTGCAAACACCCCTCTCTTGCTCTGGGATGTGTTTGGCATGGCTCCTGCTCTCCTGCTGGGATAGTCCTCGCTTTTCCCATTTGGGATGTGCCGTGCCGAGGCTGGATTTATTATTGGTGACTGGCCTCTGCTGTTGCCTCGCTGATTCCTGCTCTGATCTCAGAGGATAACTCTCTCCTAGGCTCATCCCAGAGCATTCCTTCCTTATCTCCCACCACCATGAGTTATGCTCGCAAGAATCAGCCCTTATTTCTTAGCACAGCCCAGCCAAAAGCCATCTCCAAGGGTTTCCAGTTGCATGTGCAAAAAGCCCACCTCCCTTTTCTTGCTCCTGTTAGGAATAACCTCCCCCTTCAGCGACCAGGATGCTCCTTCAAGGGTGTTGGGCTTCCCAGAGGCTTGGAGATGGTGCCCCAAAGGGGTTAGTGTATTCAGCTCGTGTTTTCCCTTAATGGAGAGCAGTGAAATAAACACCAGGTCCCTTTATCTCTCCTTTAAGCTGTAAACTGAGGCAGGAAAGCTCAAATCCTGGATGCTCTGCATGTTCCCTGCTCCAGATTCAATCCAGCCTGGAGAAACTGATAACCTGCTTCTACTCCTGGTGCTTCCAAAGTTAAAGCAGAGGAGCGTGGAGCCTGCCTGCAGCCCCATAGCGAAGCATCCTCCTTATCCCTCAGTGCTGGGGTGAGATGTGAAACAGAACTGATGGCAAATCCAACTGGATGAGGGGAGTTTGGCTTCAGTTGAAAGTCAGAGGGAGCCTCTGGTGCACAGAGGTGAGGAATTACAAAGGCAATGGAAGGGGCTGCAATCAGCAGGGGAAGAATAGGAAACAGCCGAGGGGCAATTAGATAGATCATGGTATCAAACAGCCTGAGAGTGTCAGCAGCTCCCAGAGACCAAGCAATCACTAGATATAGAAACACCAACGTGTGGAGGTGGTTGCAGTGCAGTAAACACAACCTGAGGAAGCCCTGGTTGTAGCTACAAGCTGCTGGAGCTCTGCTATGGGGGAGCTGAAGCTGTCGGGAGCACAAAATGAATCCTGGAGCAGGGATGCAGCAGGACATCAATTCCCCTCCTCATTTGGTCCTTTACTAGTGTCACCCCATTGGTATGGGGAAAGTTACTCTTGTGTAGTGCTGATAATTCCTGCTTATGGTCCCTTCTGCCTCCAAGTGCATTGGCTTGGGTGGGTTTCCATGGCCAAACTCCTGCTGCAGGTAATGGAGAGTTATCCTGGATGCATGGTGTGTGATAGAAGGGGGTTTCATCAGGGAACGTGGAGAGGAGATAACCGAGCACAGAGATGGTGACTGCTTTAAGAAAGTGAGCAATTGTGAAGGGAAAGGAGTTAAAAAGAAGCCAGTTATTTAAAGAACCCGGATTATTTGGCCTGTGCTTCCCAGACAAGACATTTTTGATTCCAGTGCAAAGGAATACAGGCAGGACATCAAGTTACAAGCCAGAAATATCATGTAACCGGTAATAGCCCTTTATTGACATAGGAAATAGGGTGGTTTTGATCAAATAAGAGCCCACACAAATGATTTTCTGTGCTTAGGATTCACAAGGAAACCCTTTGAGGAGGTTTCTGGAGGAATGTGCTTGCTTATTTTGTTCCTGTGTTCTTTCAGCTTGTTCAGTTATTAAAGAGAGGAGTCGATTGCAGGAGGAGCTTCAGCATCCCCTCATACCCTGAGGCTTGCCCTCAAATCCATCAGGTAGGAGCCTGGCTGAGGTGTAAACGGTGGGGATTGCTTCTCCCTAGTGGGAAACACTTGGAATAAGGCTGAATGTCCCTTTCCCAGATGCCAGGCTTCATCCTCTGGCTGCAGTAGTTGTCAGGGCAAACACAAGTGCCCTATTTCACTGCTGGAGAGGTTTTGGGGTGCTATTGGTGATGTCTGTGTTTGCAGGGCCAGCAGAACTAACCAGCCACTGAAGCCAGCAGTCCCGGTGTTGTGGTCCATCTCCGTGCCAGTTTTCCTCACCCATTTGGAGATCCAATGATTCATGAAGACCTCAATTAATTTGGGAAAGGGAATAAAATAGCGTTAAACGTGATGAACCTCGCGCTGCTGCCAACCCCACAGTCATTTCCGGACTCTTCCAGCTGGATTTGTGGATGGAATCCTTGAACTTCTTTGCTGACTGGCATCATTACAAGGTCGGTTGTGTTCCACTTCCTTCATTTCCTTTGGTGGTGGTGGTTTGGGAGGATGTGAAGTCATGAATGTAGGGAGAAGGGGAACAGGTCCCACCTGATCCGTGCTCCCTGCTTTAGTTGGCTGTTGGGAGGAAGAAGTAAACTCCGAGTGCCTCCATCTCACAGTTTACAAACACAAATAAGCCCTGCACAGCAACTTAGGCCATGCTGAAAGGTTCAAATATACACAAGGAGAGTGTTTATTTGAGTGGGCTCTCGGTTCCTCTGTCATTGTAGGAGAGCCAAAAAGCTAATTCCCGACAAGTGGAGCTCTGGAAGCAGCAGGGAAGGGCCTGAAGTTATTCATGGATCTGGGTTTTGGTGTCTTGAGTCAGTTCTTGGACAAAAGGTTGTTTTGGCTTCAGCCAAACCAGCCTTTTCCTGAGCTCTTCATTTAGATGCTCTGATGCACAACTGTATCCCAAGCCAGGCTCAGGCTTTTCTGCTTGCCAGGGCTGTTTTCCTCTCCACAGAAGGGTCTGCGCTGCAGGGTCCAAGCCATGGACGGGTTTCCCTGGGATTCTCTTGGGTTTGGAATGGTGTGTGGAGCAGTCTTGGATCTGCTGGAGACACTTTCTCCTTGCTTAAACCTCTGCTGCGTGTAAGTGCACAGGCCTTACGCATTAGGCTGAGCTTTCACAGATGGACTGGGAAGAGTCAGTGCTGAAGCTGAAGCCAGCACAAGTGGAGTTTGGGAATAGCTGGCTCAGCAGGGAGGAGGGGTATAAACGGCAGGAAAGGAGGCAGATGAGGTGGGACAGTGCATCAAATCAAGGGAATGGGAATTGTCTGTTATTAGGATGCACTGGAAAGCATCTGGGTCTGAATGGCTTCATACAGGGAGTTTGTCACATAGAATCATGGAATTCCAGCCTGGTTTGTGTTGGAAGGGACCTTAAAGCTCATCCAGTTCCAATCCCTGCCACGGGCAGGGACACCTTCCACTAGAGCAGGTTGCTCCAAGCCCCTGTGTCCAACCTGGCCTTGAACACTGCCAGGGATGGGGCAGCCACAGCTTCTCTGGGCACCCTGCACAGATTCCCTATGGATGATGTATGTAATAGTTCCCACTTCACTTGCTCTCGGCTACCTCCAGCCTCTTGTACCTATTTTAAAAGGCATCCCACAGCTGTAGGCTGCCCATGGCCAGGAAATGACCAGAGCATTCCACTCCCTGCTACCTTCCTGACAAGCCTGGAGGCTTTTACTGCTTTCCTTAGCTTGGTTCTTCCCCCCTGAAAGCTTTTCATGTCACAGAGTGTCAGGATTTAAGGCCAGCTTGAAGAGGCACCTCTGCTTTTCTTCCTTCAGCCCCATGTTGTCCTAGGTAGGGAGAGAAGGGGACCAAGAAGACACTGAGAGACCTCTGGAGCAAAGTGATGTGGGCTGTAGATCTATAGATTAAAGCAAGGGTGAAGGCCAAGTGGTTGTGTCAGTTGGAAGATCCAGGGCCAGGAGCTGGCCTTAGCAGCACAAGTCTTTCCATTGCTGGTGAGTCACTTGCTGACACTTTTTGGCTGCCCTCCTGGGCTGGAAGGGGCTGAGGGAGAGCCATAGATGTGGGTTGGAAGGGACCATAAAGCTCATCCTTAAAGCCACAGGCAGGGATACCTCCCACTAGAGCAGGTTGCTCCAAGCTGCTTCTTCTAGCCACGGATAGAATCCCATCTGAAAAGGTTAAATGCAGCTTGTGTGTGCAAAGTGGGTTTTAGTGCTTGGTGGTGGGATGCTTTGAGATGGAACCTTCCATCTGCGGGTGCATCCTCCTTTCACACCTGCAGGGTTATTTGCTGTCACGCTTCTAAAATAAGCTTTAAATCTGCACTTCAGTTCAGGCTTTCCAGATTTGGGAGCTGTGACAGAGTCAGAACTCCTCCTCTCGGGTGCAAATACCAACTCTCAGCTTTCAACAACAGGTTTGGGTTTGCTGCAGGGAAGGCATTTCCCCTTTTGGAAACCTCTTTTCCACGTAGAGGAAACAGGGAGAAAAGCAGGAGGAAAAAAATACAATTTGGTGCAATTCCCTTTCTATTCCCAAAGGGAGGAACACCACAGGCTTGTGACCAAAGGGACAATTCCCCTTTGGTGTGACCCCGGTGCCCAAGCGAGCGGCAGTTCCTTGTCTCATCTCTGGTCATTCCTTGTGCTCCCCGTGAAGGCAACAGAAGCCTTGCCATTAATTCCCAAGGCTTTCAGATTGCTGTACTCATGGAAACTAACGTGAGCATTCCATATCCTGTTGTTAACGAAGCCCTTTCATTTCAGATGCTGTTTAGGTGATGCATAGAATGGCCCTAAGAGCGCAGGCATCCAGCTGGCAGGCTGCTTAGAGGAGGTGTAAAACATGTTAGGAAGAACAAGACCCTCCTTAGGTCTGGGCCCTGCAGTGGGGTGGAAGGGGCCATGCATTGCATGGGGGTTAAAACCAGCTCCAGGCATCATGGAGCTGTCAGGGATGGCAGAAAACTTGGACCTCTTCTGTCTCGGATTGTGGAATCCCAGAGTGGTTTAGGTTGGAAGGAACCTTTAAACTCATCTAGCTCCATGCCTTCCACTAGAGCAGATGCTCCAAGCCCCTGGCCTTGAACACTGCCAGGGATAGGGCTTAACTTTGGCTCCTTGCACCATGAATAGGTTGGATCTATGGGATGTTAGTGGGTTTAATCTCTCAGTGCAGGACAACCCTGGGAAGGGATGATTCCCACTGCTTTGGCACCTCCTGCCTGAAGTGATAGGTGAGCCCTGGGGTCCTCCTTGCCCAACCCTATTGAAAAGAGCTTTTTGGGGATGTACGAGGTGGCTTAGATCAGCTTGCACCAAGGAGGGGATACAAGAGCAGGGCTCTTTACCATGCCCTGCTGCCTGTTGGATGACTTCTGGCTCCTTCCTCTCTCGGTCCCCTCCACTGCATCCATGTGCAGAGCACGGAGCCGTGTGGAGTGTCTTTGGGAAGGGGCCAGCTCCATGTGTATAAGATTTCCATTAACTCAGGGAGTGCAAAGCTTGGGCTCAGGGCCCAGGCCATGCTGGAAAAGGCAGCGTGGCTGCAGTCATGGTACTTGTGTAGCACCCAGGCCCACAGTGAGACCCCAGCATGGGTTCTCACACCTGCTTTGATGGGTGATGCCTTTACATGATGTGACAGCTCCTGGGACAGCATCACCCATGGCTGAGCTCCTCCTGAGCTCCTGGGGGATGCGGGTTGTGCTAAGGATGCTCTGGGTTCTGCCAGCTTCCCAACACAGCCCTGCCCACACAAGGCACCTTCTGCCAGCCCCTGGCATCATCCCTCCCGGGGCTGGCAGGGCAGGGAAGTGACAGCACTTAGCCAAAGGAGCTGGAATTCCTTCTCCCAGGCATGTGCAGAGCACATCTGGTCAGCAGGGACGCATGGTTTTGGGACCCTTTTTTCCTGCACTGTGAGGCTGTCCCAGCTGGAGCCAGAACTCCTTTCCCCTGGGGACGTGCTGTGCTGACACATCCGCTCTGGCCACAACACAGCAAATCCTGTTTTCCTCTCCTTTTTAATCCTGCTCCAAGGCAGACAGTGCTCACTGGTTCCCTTTTCCAAAGGGTTTGGCCACGTCAGGTCCTCTGGGGATGGTGCTGTCTTCTAAAGGGGCTGCAAGAAACCTGGAGAGGGGCTTTGGACAAGGGCCTGTAGGGCCAGGCCAAGGGGAATGGCTTTAACCTGCCAGAGGGGAGACTGAGATGAGCTCTTAGGCAGAAGCTCTTCCCTGTGAGGGTGCTGAGGCGCTGGCACAGGGTGCCCAGAGAAGCTGTGGCTGCCCCATCCCTGGCAGTGTTCAAGGCCAGGTTGGACACAGGGGCTTGGAGCAACCTGGTCCAGTGGAAGGTGTCACCAGATAGCTTTAAGGTCCCTTCCAGTCCCAGCCAGTCTGTGATCTATGATTCCCTCCTTCCCATGCACACCAGAAGCCTCAGAGAGGGATGCGAGTGGGATGGGTCCCATCTCCAGCTGAGATGCCACCCATTTAACCAATGAAGCATCCCTGCTTCCATGGAAAAGCAATACTTCCCCCATGGGACTCCACCTCAGGATCAGTAGTGCCCACCAAGAGCTGCTCCTGGTGTGCAGACCTTGCCCTTTGTGCTGTGGCTTTATTTGGTCCCCCCTAGTGCTCAGACTGCAGGAACTCCATCCTGGATCCCAACAGAATCCCTTTGCTGTCACTTCCACTTACAGATCACAGCGCTGACGTTGCTGCAGTGCAGAACAACAGGGCTTTGGCCACAATGGAATTGGAGAACCTGTATCTGGAAGAGGGACCTTTCTCTCTCCAGCAGAACCCTCTGGACCCCTCCAGGAAGGGCAGGACAAGGCAGCAGTGATGCTCCCCGCTGTGTCTTTGCAGCCTGGCTTGGGTTAGTTTTGCTCCTGCAGCACAAAAGGACATTCTTGTCCCAAAGCATTTTTCCCTGCATACTTGCAGCGTGAGCAAAGCAGGAGGGGAGGGGGGGGATTGAAAGGTTGGGGGGAATGAAATCTCACACAGGGCTTAGTTTACAAGGGACAGCTGAGTGTATAAACCCCGTCTCCAAAGAGGGCTGTTAGGAGCTTTTCTGGCAGCGGTTCCCCTCCTACCCCCAGCCTCTGGCTTAAGCTGCTTGGAGGGAGAAGAAAAAGGGGAAGGACGGGGGGAGCAGTTGTGACTGCTCCAAAACTCAGGGCTCAGAATGAAACCCCCCTGACACATGGAGCACAGCCCGTGGGGCTGAGCACATAAACAGGGGGCAAGTGGGTTGAGTGGCTCTGGGGATGTGGGCAGAGTGGGGAAGGTGAGGGTTGTGCCTTGTGCAGCTGAGACATGGTTGTGTGATGGGGTGAATGGGTCCAAAGAGAGACAAAGGCCCCCTCATAGAATCCCAGAGTGGTTTGGGGTTGGAAGGGACCTTAAAGCTCATCCTTAAATCCATGGGCAAGGACACCTTCCACTGGAGCAGGTTGCTCCAAGCCCCATCCATCCTGGCCTTGAACACTGCCAGGGATGGGGCAGCCACAGCTAACCCTGGGCTATGGGAAGCGAGAGGCCTGTTGTTTGTAAAGGGCTTTGTCCTTCATATTGATGCTATCTCTGCATCTCACCAAGTCGTCTCTTGGGATAAAAACTCATTTTGAAGCCCCATGTGTAATTAGGGAGCAATGCTGGGCAGCAAGGGGGATGCAGCAGGGTTTGGACCCTGCCCTGTCCATCTCCCATACCAAACATCCTTAAAACTGTTATTAATGCAATGAAAACTCTCCCTTTTCCGAGGTAATGTATTTCCATCCCATCCCAAACAGCCACTAATGCTGCTTCTAAATGTGCATTTCATTTCCATCTCACAGGTCTGTGTGCACTGCCTCAGCTGGGGCACAAGTGCTTATTAAAACCATACTTGCTGTGCATTAACAACCCCATACACATGTATCTCTCATTAAACACTATGGGCTGGAAGGAGGATTGGTGCCCCGGGCTCTCTCTGTGAGATCTCTCAGCACCACATGCAATAAATATGGTTTTAATAAGCAGTCATTAATAACTGGACAATAACAGCTTTATTAAGCTTGGGAACCTTAATCCAGGACTATATGGTGTAATGGAATATACTGGAATTCAGCTTCAGTTTTCTTTTAGGCTTCTTGCTATTGGGGGGGGGAAGATGCATTCCCTGAAGGTCTGATCCTGCCCTGGGATCTGCATGGAGCTCTTTACAGGGCTGGAGCACTCGAGCATCCTTCAGAGGAGGGATGCAGTGGGAACACAGCCACTGTTTCACTGGGGGGGATACTTGATACTGGGTAAGGAAGGAAACTGCTGTGTTGTTGATCACTGCTTGCAATAGTGATTTGGGAGGAGGAGGAGGAGGCTGCTTTGGCCCCGCTGGCTCTTCCTCTCCCCATCTCTAGCAACTGCAGCGTGTTGCAACGCGACGTTAGGTCCCGACCTCGCTGCGTCTCCATGGGTGGGCATTGCAGAACCGGCCCTGTGGTTCCTTGTGGGGGCTGCAGCTCCTTGAGCAGGCAGATAAAGGCCACAGCACTCAGGTTCTGCTGCCTCTGCTTAACCCCTGCCTACCAAACCGCAGGGCTCTTTGCAGCATCAGGCTGGGTCTGGGCTCTGCTACCTCTCGGTTGTCTTTACCTTCAGGAAGCAGGGGGTCTGGAACGCAAGCCAGGGAGCCCACATCGCTCTGGGACTCGAGCAAGGAGGCAGGAGCCAAGGATGCCAAAAAGGAATCCCACTCTTCATTAGATGATGATAAAACCGTGGTAAAATAGCAATAAGAGCCTGGCACAACTATCCAAAGTACATTAAGCGCAGGGGTTTGGCTGGAAAAATCCCAGGACAGCCTACAGCGCAATCCTAAGCTGTTGGAAAGCTATTGTAGCCTATCCCACCACTGGTTTACCACCCCTGCCTGCCTTACCATCCCTGACTGCCGAGCTCTGCGTTTTGCTTTCTTCGATGGGTTAGTTTCCATTTTAC